CTAAGGTACACCAAGCAGCAGTTAGTAACCCTGTACCATACACTGAGGAGGGTACAGTACACTAGAGACACACACGGTACACTAAGGTACACCAAGCAGCAGTTAGTAACCCTGTACCATATACTGAGGAGGGTACAGTACACTTTACATACCCTGGTCCTCACCACAGCCGCCCGTGACGTCACCAGGAGGAATGTGGCCACGACAGCGGGTTACAACTCCACAAAACCCAACAATATGATAATGAAATAAACAAAAGAGAAGAGAGATAAGACGAAGTATAACCGCTGGAGAAGAGTAAAGTAAAGTATCTGTACCCTAAGACCCCAAAGTTCTTAGTATTTTAAAGTAAAGTGTTTTAATTATTCCTCCTGACGGCCACCGGTGTACCAAACATAGAGTGACTTGAAAACTGGCGCCCAAGTTGTTGTAAGACTCTAGACTCAGTGGATTTGTTTTCTTATCTCTATTTCAACCGGTATGGAGTCGAGGAGGGAGTGTGTGTGTGAGGGGCGGGGGAGTGAAGGAGGGTGTTGCTTGTCAAGTGATGGGTAGGGTAGGTGGAGGACTTTGTGTATGTGTGTGTTCTCTCCCTACTGCGCACGACGCCGTCAGGGAGGGGGACTCGCCGTGGGAGAGGGAAAGGGAGAGAGAGAGAGAGAGACAGAGAGGGGTATGGGCGGCCAGCAGCATTAGTTGGGAGGGGAAGGAGGGAGAGGTGGAAGGGGGTGTTTGTAGCGCATGAAGGGGGGGGGGGTTAACAGGCAGGCGGTTCAGGGAGGGTAGGGAAGGGAGGGGGTGGGGGTGAGGGACGGAGAGGAACGACCCAAGGCCATGCGGGTTAACAAAACTCTACGGGACTGTGGAGAAAACATTCACATACAAACACTGTTAATGACGTCATCATTACCTCCCTCGATGACGTCACTGCCATAACACCGCCCTTTCTTATTATGGTAACTGTCGGCCTCGTCAGTATGGTTCATCATCACCTTCACTACACTCTCAGGTGCACTGGCTACACACACACACAATACTTTGCTGTCATTGGGAATCGAGTATGACGATCATCCAGCTGTGGTACAATGACATGATTTATCAATGACGTCACTGGTGAGCTCTGAGGTGACTCGAGAGGCCGATACGGGACCGGCAGAGTCGTTCACATGTGGGGACAAACATCTAGTGTGTGTGTGTGTGTGTGTGTGTGTTCGGCTTCTGTTTGGTTTATTTTTATTATTATTAACATAAGCCGGGTGTCTAATCTTCAGATTTTACCATATTCTATAAAGCACTTGTCTATAATTATACGCTTACAAATAGTATTGTAGCCAATGAAGGGGTCACCTCTATAGTTTACAAGGTGACTGAGCCAGTACGTGACGCTGACCCATCACAGACCGACCTCAGAAGTATAGCATTGCCACATACCTATTTTACGTTCCTTAGTGAACATCTAATAAAAATCTACGAAATATACCCATATATAATTATCTATTGGATATTCTGGAAATACTTTTGAGGATCCACCCCTGGGAAAAGATACAAGTATATCCACAAAATACTTCCCATGTATGTGTTGGCGCCCAGCAACACACCAGTCAAACACCTTCATGAGTATTTGTCGACAAGACTTTGTTTGCAAGTCAAAGGCCGCCGTGACGTCCATAACTAACCCGTCACGTGATCTATGACCCTCTCTTCAGTAGGACAGTATTTGATTTATTACAAGCGAAGGTTGAATTAGGCAGTGCTGCAACAAAACCTTACCTATCCCAACTATTTTGTTTGTGGTTGTAATTCTCGAATAAGTTGAATAACTTATAACTAAACAATCGTAAGAAAAAGTATTTTAGACAAATATATCACGCAAGCTTTTCCTGGAAGCGAATTACCAAAGATTTACCTGCTCCTTTCCGCTAACTGGATATGAGGGCCTATATTTAGTTAAGGCAGAATCAGTACAGTATTACTACTCAGTAGGAAGTAATTTTTTAGTTTGATGCGTTTCACGTCCTCATCCCCAGTAAGAGTTAATCAAACATACAATACAGACTGGTATCTGAGAATCCGTGTTCTGAAGCTGCGAACGTTGAGCATTTGCTGTTGACAGTGATGGTGGGACCAGAGAATTGATTTCTTTTCACTTTCTAGTGCAAGGTGCAAATTTTTAGTATTTTTAGAATATAAATGTTTTCTAATATATTTTTTCTTCCATTCGACAATTGTATTTGTATTACACTTCATATATTTCTGATGAAAGTTCCTGAACCCAACTGATGACAAGAGGCAAGTGGAGTATCAGCGCTTCATAAATACGTACGGTTAAATGTTGTGTTGTTTACTTTATTTTTATATGAATCTGCCTTTATACTCCATATAAAAGCTTAGACATTTTTGTAATAACATAATCACTGGTAATATGGTTATCGTTATCAGAAGTATCACAGTATTACTATTCATAAATTCAAGGAATCTAAAATTTAGGCTGGTGTCGCTGCAGCCTATACACACACACACACACACACACACATATATATATATATATATATATATATATATATATATATATATATATATATATATATATATATATATATATATATATATATATATATATATATATATATTGTGTGTGTGTGTAAAACTGTTAAATCTGTAAAGGGAAGGCGCGTTAAAACCATGGAGTACAATAAGTCTACTAATTGTATACTGTAAATTGTTTGATCGTGAATTGTCCTGAGGTATATAGTACGTGATGGTAAATGAGTCACCTCTGAGATATACATTGACACACTAAAATACCTTCGACTTTCTTGTCCTTGATAAATCATTAATCCTTGTTCTCCAATTACTATATATGAATAAACCATACTGAAATTCCTGACTTTTAGGGCATAAATTAGATTAACATTGGTCACCGTTATCCGGGATTAGCCTATAACAAAAGTTACTAAAGGAGAGCTGCTGGTTGGCTGTGGAGCGGCGGCCGGTGAGCGGGAGTCTTCAAGCATCGTACAGTACAGTATTCCTTAGATTCTCCCTTTAACTAGAGCTGTAAGAACGCTCAGCCTAATTACCTCCAGTTACCTTTGATTTTCCAAGGTAATATATTTGCAAACTGAATTCATTACGAGGTACAATTAACTATAGATTAAATAACGCCGTTATCACATAGGAATCACTTCACTTCCACGAGAAATCAGTACTTGTGTTCATATATTTCTAAATAAAGTCTTGGAATCTATAAATCTACATGCCTAACTGCTCCTTGAGATAGCTTATTTTGATATGTTTATTCTAAATTACTTCCTGGAAGCTTCTTCGTTAAAAGAATATGCTCAACACACCAACATCATAATAAACAGTGTATTTTTACTAGTGACTCATTATCACTGCCCCTCTCTCCACTTCCTGGATCTTGGGGAATTCATGATAAAAAATCCCCGCCCCCTCTTTTCCTGGCAGTAAATTTAAGTATTACAGTCACCAGATAATACATGAGTTTTAGGGAACACAGAACCCATGAGTATTGCTTTTAAGTAACCTGTCTAAACATTCACGAGTTAACTGGTCCCACTGTTGTGTATATAAAACAGGGGGCACTACAGTAGTTGTTTGTGATCATAATGCTCAACTGTATGGACACCTTTATAATAAGTTGGTGTAATATCTCTTCTAATTCTACATGTACTGTTTATAATAGGCTTCTTAATTGTTGTGAGTTAAATGTTGCAATAAAAAAAAATTAATATACCTTGCTATTATGAATATTTAATAGATATCAATAAATATACATCAACAATTATTTACATTGATATTAGTGTAGATATAATGCTTCGAGGTATCTAAAAAGAGATTTATCTGAGTGAAAATATATACGATTGCATTGGTAAATATAAGCATTGTGTATATAGCTGAAGTGCAAGTAAATAATTAGGTACATTTGTTATCTGACGCATTGATTATTTCACTACCCGCTGTTGGGGCGTTTGGTGCTCCTTTTTATTACTTTGTTAAGAACTTTATTGTCTAGTGTTTGAACAGTAGGAAACCCTGTCATGTTTGGTAGGGTAACACTGGATAACAACCACCCTTTCCATGTGTGTCCAGTGTTGGGACATATTGGTTAGAGATATACGTCTCACTGTACCATTAAAACCTCAACTTTCTTTTTGAAGTTTTAGAAAGTACTGCATGTTATAAGATTATATTTGTGTGTTCAGATGTAATAAATGACTTTATATTACTTCACTTTTTTTTAAAGGTATACTGAATATTGTAAATTAAAATAGTTTTATGAATTGATACACTGTGCGTATTAGTTTACTTCCTGGTGTCCATGACTAACTGTTGTCCGTTGTTCTTGATCACTTGATATACACCCATTTAAATGTTAGGATTGTCTTTGCTGCCATAACCTCAGCAGGCAGACAATTTTAAAGGTGTGTCTGAAAGGAGCTTGAAAATGTATTCTTTATTTTACTGTCACATTAATTTCCCTGTAATATTTTAACAACAGTAAAAGGAATTTCAGTGATAAGTCTAGATTAACGAATGTATAATAAACAAAACCCGTAATGAGTAATGAAGCTTGCTCACCTGACTGGCTTCTCTTAAAACCTGTGTCAAGCCTCAGAATTATCCACAATGGCAGGAAAATGTATCCTGTTCCTATAAGACTATATATATATTCCACCCAAATATGTTTTTCTTTTCAGCCTTCGTTTTATGCAATATAAATCACATTCAAATATTTGTTCAGAAATATGAACACAAAAACAGATTTAGACATAAGGAACCTAAAGTACAGCTATAGTTTTCCCACAGAGTGATACCTTAATAAAGTTGGTGCTCTAACTTTATTATGGATGGTTAATATATCCCTAAAATACTTAATGCAGATCATATTCCCGCTTATTGTTCGAATTGACGTACTTAAACTTTTGGACCAATCAGATGGCGGGAAGAGGGTCACGTGACCTGGGCTCCCGAACAGCTGAAAGTGTTGTGTTTACTTCTTGAGTGATCGAGACGTCGTTTGTTGTTGATCGCGATAACAGCCCTGAAATCGCCTCTAAAGGGATTAACTGGGGGTTATTACGGTGATTAAAGTCCTTGACAGGGCAGTAAGGCATCAGTGAGGGACAATGTCGGGCGGTGAACGCGAGGGCAGGAGCAGCAGCCGCCGCCCCAGCCCCCTCAGAGCCACCGTGCCCGTACAGGTATAACCAACCTTATTACTGCCTCTCTCAGGTCGTGGGCAAGGTCATGTAGGTCACCTTAGGTCACTGCTGGGGCCTGGGGGTCACGGCCACACCACACACACCCACACCACCCTCTCCACACCACTCACCTCAGAGGATATGATGCTAACCAATATATATCAAATCTGAACCATTGCCAGAGTTAAAGTGCTTGGTAGCCCTGTAGAAATAATTTTAATTCCACCTACACGAGTATTTATAAATTATTCTCGAAAAGATTGTGACTCAGTGGTGTAACAATGCTGGTAAACACAATCAGCAAGTGTGAATGTTGGTCATTGATCATTGTTTGTTCTTAAAGCTATAGTTAGCTTCTATAATGTTTGCTGAAATGTGAAAATTAATTGTAGTTTGTTATAATACGAAAAATATCTCTGATGATTGTAAAATTAATAGTGAAGATTTTGTATTTTGTTATGGTGTAGCTACAGTGTACAGTAGTGTTCCATGCTGTACAACTGACCCAGCAGCTCCTAGAGGCAACCACAGTATCAAGTGATGTTTATGATAACTTATGTGTACTCTGTGTTATGAAAATATTAAATTATTAGGCTGAAAGATCTGTGAAAAAATCCTGAATGAAGTCCTGTTCCGACGGTTATCAGGAAACAACCCGGTCAGTATATATTATACAGTACAACCCAAATCTGAGCAAATTATCCAGAAATTGACAAAACTTCTTTATATACCAATAATCCAGAACTACAAGTACTCAGAAGCTTATTACTGAGAGGGAGAACAAGATTAAGTGCTGGCATCTATTTTGAGGACGATTGTGGGAAGTGTTAACCAGTTGGAGAGTTACAGAGAAATGTTGTACACATAATCAGAGAGTTACAATATAATGGAAAGTTAATATATAACAACTTGACGGGAAGTGTTTGTTGTTGTTTAAGTGGTAAAGGTGTCATAAGTGGTCCCAGTAGATGTTTGTGTATACCAGACTGACCTGGGTGACAGTTTATGAAAGAGTTGTAGCTATATTATGGTTTTTTTTATATATTAATTTTTTTTTATTACCTAGAATATAAAACAAATTCATGAAGGCACAGTTAGCATGTCCACCTAGCAGGTGAGTGGTCCCAAGTTCAATCCTCGGGCAGGGTGAAACTGCGGGCAAATTTCTTTTTGCGTCTGCCTACCATGTAGTGGCTGGGACCGAATATTAATCAATTTGGGGATCGTGTTCTGGGGTAATGGTTAATCAGTGCAGTTGGCGAGTTGTCCGATCCTCTTGGATTTTACCTTAACACTTCTAGTTAACTTAGGGAATGGTGGTTGGTTGGTGATGGCTTCTACACCTTAAATAAATTCACAGGGGGATGGTGCTAGAGCGACCATTATGATGCCAGAATAAAATTTTCTTTTTCCATTTTTTTTCACTTATGGCTCTAAAGTTGGCCACACGACAATTACCTCATGTTGCTAGTGGTAAGTACAGTATGTGCATTACAGGCAGCACTTTTGAATTGACAAAATAAAGGGCTACCAGACTTTAGTAGTGTACAGTAGGTATGGACCACTGAATGATATATACGCAGTACTCAAGTTTGGCAGTTCTAAGTTCTTTACTTCTACTAAAATCATCAATTGTTCAGCGAGTCCTGACTTTGTGGGTCCCTTATATAGGGAGAGAGAGCAATAAAGACAGAAGAATTTACTCAATGTCGTTTCTGTCTGGAACATATATTTTTATTTGATTTTTTTTCCTTTTCGATTTCACTTAAAGAAATGCAATTTTGATTGCACAAAGCGGGGAGGGCTTTGAGGTAGAGGGAAATTGTGAAGTAAAAACACGCAAAAAACTGACAAAACCTAATGACTCAAATATCAGTATACCTGTACTGTAGTACAGTACAGTACTTGTACGTGTTTAACTTAACCTAACGAGAGAAACCAGAAGGACCTGAGCTCACCTCTTATCCGGGTGGGGGGGGGAGACCGGTGTGTATGCCTAACCTAACCCAATGAGACAAGAAAAAGAAAGGTACCCAAAGAAACCAAACCTGAAATTAAAAAATTAAAAACCTGAAAAGAATAAATTTCCGATGAAAATGCGAATAAGCGTGTGAGTGTCACGTGACACCGACAATCTCACTGTACAGTGGTTTTGTGGTTTACTGTACACTTGTGAATGGCTCTTTTTCTCCTACACAATACAGTCCAGTCCAGTATAGGGTAAATGGCTTCTGGGTATTTTAGGGTCTTTCAGATGTTTGTGGCTATGATGTAAATTCTTGTACCTGTACAAGTACAGTATTACAATAACAACACTCCTGACTTGTGGGAGACCTCTCACATCAATACCATATAGGCATTCACCTGATCTCTATGAAAACATTTGTAAGGCAGTGTGTATACTGTACATTTTTCTGAGACACAATTTCCTTCTTATCAATAAACTAGCCCCCTCGGGGGCAAATCTGAATCTATTTCCTTGTTAACAGCACTACATGATACAGTAGGAAAGCATTGTTGGAGGTGTTTCATTTGGTACAGCTCCTTACTACTGCTGGGGGATAAAAGGTGAACAATATATACAAAAATACTGTCTTAGTCTTCCTGGCTTTTTGTTGGATTACCAAATGACTGGATGATCAGATTTAACATATCCCACATAACCCCATGAGACACTAACTACCTTCATCACTTCATCCTTAAATAAGTTTTTTCTTCACTATCTTCATCTAATGATTGTTGAGTACCGGTATGCTTAATGGACCACTAATACTTTGTGATTCCCTTCTTACCGGGAATCAACTCTACAATCACATTATTAACTGAGGGTGTATACAAACGAACTAGTAGTGATAGTAATGAACTTGGTGTATTGTACTGTCTGCATTTTTACTATCATTGTCTTAGCTTGTCTTAGTTTCATATTATTCTTATGAGATGCTGCTGTTTTTCCCTGATTTACAACTCTGTACTGTAAGTGACACGACGAATGGACGCCCAAATTTGCAACGTTTATTTCTCAAAGCACTGTCTATTATGTTTTTGTCCGGAGTATTGAAGTATTGTAAGTAAATATACAGTTTGAGTGCTTCCTGGCATCCTCGTCACAGCTGAAGGGGATTGGTCATAAAAACAGTGTTGTTCGAAATACAGTACTGTACTGTAATGTTTGCGCCTTTAATGTGGTTTTGATTTCCAAATATAATACGTAAGTGTTTGAATATTGTGCTGTGTTCTCATAGTACAGGTAATGGTGATTACAGGTATTTACTAATCATAAAAAATACAGTACTGTATATACGGTACAGTACCTGGCATACTGTACAGTTGTGAATAATGGATATTGTATAAAAGAAACAAATCCAACATACTGAAGCGACATTCAGCATGATGTCGTTCTTGTTATTTGGATAAATAGAGGTACAGTATATGCAGTCTTTATGTTCATTGAACCCTTATGTACAGGGTCCCCTCTGTGATGAATATAATATTGAAAGTGGTGTCTTAGTGAAGGGATTAATACCTGAATTTAATCTCTGTCTTTATCTGTTGGTCTGTCTGCCTCTTTTTTTAACTCACATATTTGCCATTGATCCTAACTCTTAAACAGTGTCTACAGAAAACCTTCCAGAACAAACTACAACAGCTAACTGGTAAATTTGATGACGCCAATACTGTACAGTAGATCTTTCTTATCACTAACACAATCAGTGAAGGCATATCAGGTATGATTGTGCAATTTAAATTGTTTGAAATCACTCAGATTCAGAAATATGAAAACTGTACTGTACTGTACCAGAATAGATTTAGGTACTGGTACAGTATAAAGAACAGATACTGTTCAGTAAGTCCCGTGTAGTGACTACCATAAAATATAACAATTGAAAATATGATGATACATTAATGGCAGGTATGTGATCCATGCTGCACAGAGTATCAGTGTTCGGCTGATTATGAGAGCAACAAAGTTTATTTTAAGGTTACAGAACCTTGCAACTGACCCAGTAGACACATCCACTGGTGCGTCCCCCCTAGGGAGAGCCTGCCAGCGCCCAGGAGGTGTGCAATGCTTTATAGTAGGACACTGTTCTTGCAGGATTTTCACAACAGTGTAGACTTCTCCCACTCAAACATACCATTGTGAATTGTAGTCAAGAGTCTTCATCTCCTGACCTCCCTTACTGTGACCCCCCACACACACACACACACAATAAAATATCATGACCAGTTCTCAGTTTCCTTCTCCTGGCCACTCTGTCAACACCTCCCAGCTTGGAAAGTGTTAACAACAGCACTTAATGATGTTTTTGGCTCATTGAGGGAAGAATTACCCGGTAGTAATGGTGTGAGAGAGGATGTCTGCCATAGTCGTTGGTTACATGAGTGCGCTTTTATACTGCTCCTTAAGTCTTAGTCTTGTGGATAATTTCTTCTCCTAAAGCTTCATCACCTGAGTTTAAAGTTCTTTTTATGAAGTAAATAAATAATAAATGAAGTATAAATTAAATGATAATATAAAGGAGTGTACCTTGCTGAGGGTCCAGGCAGGCATGTGAGTGGCCCTCCACTCTAAATTTTGCTTGGTAAATGAATAAAAGTTCATTAATTGAATTTTCAAGCCCAGAAACACTAAGATCACTAAGCGAAATTTTTGTAAATGGTTAATATTAAGTAGGACCCTTACTGTACGTTGACAAAAATATTTTGGAGCCGTAACACATTCAGGGTGAGGAGTTGGGAGGCAGCCAGGTGTAGTGCTCTGTCACTTGAGTCGCTATCACTCAAAAGTGTTTATGTGATACAGTAACTGTACCTGTACAATATTTTTTTATAGAGTGCTTCTGAATAAGAAACACACACACTCTTTTTACCAAATTGAAAGCGATTGATTACAGATTTTTTTTTATAAATATTTATAGTGTACATGCAGTCTCTGAGTTACAAACAGGTTATGTTCCTGGATCCTGTTCATAAGTCGATCTGTTTGTAAGTCAGAACAG